TAAAATCAGGGTCTGCCAAAGATGGGGTCTGTTGTCAACACTCTAGATTCCTAGGAGTAACAATGCTTGAGATGGCTTGCAAAGCAAAAGATGACAGAAATGAAAAGGAGATAAATTTACAACACTTGAGGAAGACTTAATAATCATTTCTCAGAAAAAGCTCAGTAAAGACATAAAATTTTTAACAATAGAATTAACAGACTTAACTGTCATATACAGAAGCAGATGTATTAACTTCAGAATTCAGTATATTAGGCACAATAGGAAATTTTACAAAATCAACCATATAGTGGAATTAAAAAAAAACAAATTTCAAAGATTTCAGAAGATTGAAATTATACAGAGAACTTTTTCTGACCAAATCCCTTTAAGCTGGAAAACAATAGAAAAATATAAACAGAAAATCTATGCTTTGGAAAGTCAAAAAATATACTTTTAAATAATCCATGAATCAAATAAGAGATTATAATGGACATAAGAAAATATTTTGAACTGAGCAATAAGGCTATTAGAAATAAAACTTGTAGAATATGGCTAAATCAGTAATAGAGGGATATTTATAGATTTAAATGAATATATTAGGAAAAAGGAAAGGCAAACAGCAAATCTAAGCATTCATTTTTAGAGGTAACGAAATAGCATTTAAATAAACCCAAGGAATACAGGAAAAAAATTAATAATAAAAATAGAAGAAATTAATGACATAATGAAACAAACAGAGAATAAGGAAGTTAAACACAGCCAAAAGCTGATTTTAGAAAATACTAACAAAATTGCTAAACACCTGGCAAACTGATAAAGAATATAAAATGGACAAATAGCTAATATCGAGAAGGAAAAGGGAGACATTACTACAAATTCTACAAATATTTACAACTTGATAAGGAAATATTATGAACAGTTTTATGCTGGTAAATGTAGTAGTTTCATTGATGTTAACAAATTTTTAGAAAAACACGTATTACCAAACAAAAGATGAAATAGAAAGTCCTAAATCATCATAGCTACTGAAGAAATTAAATCAATTATTAAGAGCCATTCCACAAAGATAACTCCAGCGGTAGATGGCATCACTGGCCAATTCTACCACACCCACCCAGAGACTGCGAAGGAGTGAACACTCTTCAGCTTCTTCTAGATTACCTTACTTTTGATACCAAAACCTGACCAAGACATATGGCAAAGGAAAATAATAGTTCAATTGCACTCCTAAACATAGACGCAAAACTCCTAAACCAAATATTAGCAAGATGAACCCAGAAAGTTTAAATAGGATAATATATCATGACCAACTTCTGCCTGTTGCCTCAATGTAAAGATGCAATAACTTTAAAAAGTGATGAGTGTAATTTGCTACAGTAATAGCATAAAAGATAATTTCAAAAGATAGAGATAAAAGTCTTGATAGAATTCAATATGCATTCATGCTTTAAAAAGTGTTTAGTTGCTAGACACAAAGGATAAATGTTCCAATCTGATGAGGATAACTACAAAAACCTTACAAAAAACATACCTAATGTTGAAGCATTGAAGGCTTTCCCTTTCAAATGAGTAACAAGACCGTCTATTATCACCACTTCTACCCAGCATTGTACTAGAGGTCCTAGCTAGTTTAATGAGACACAAGAAATAAAAGGCATTAGGTTTGGAAGAAAGAACTAAGCTCAGTAAGTGGATATAATTGTATTCATACGAATGTAAATAAACCTATGATAAATTATAAAGTGAATTTAACAATTTTGATGAAATCATATAAATCAAAGTCAATATAAGAAAATAAATTGCACTTTTTTAAATCAACAACAAATATCTAAGATACAAAAATTTAAATATTTTTTCAAAAGAACAAAGGAATATCTAATACTTAGGAATAAATTTAACAAGAAATATTTATGATCTTTATGCAGGATAATGTAAAAAATAGAAAATTATGTCTTATTCATCATTGCACTCAATATTATCAGTATATCAGTTCTCAAATAATTTAATACATTTATAAATTCAATGTAATTCTATAAATCTCAACAAATTTTTATTTTTTATTCTTGGTGGCAAGAAACATTTGACCAAAGTTTAACCTATCACTATACAGAAAAGCAAAAGACCAAGAATAGGTAAGACAATCTTGAAATACAGCAATATAAAGTCATAGGATTTAGTAACTACAGTGTCTCAGGACTTACAATAAAGCTAAAGTAATTTAAGATAATATAATATTGGCAAAAGGATAGAAAAATAGACCATTGGAATAACTGAGAAAAACTATAAACCATCCCAGGCCTAGCTGGAGACTTAATTTATGACAAAAGTGGGGTACACCTGATTTATGACAAATAGGAAAAGATAGTTTGTTTAAACAAATGGTTTTAGGACAATTGCATTTCCAAATAAAAAAAAAAGAAACTTTACTTACACCACGAACAAAAACAATTTCCAGATGAAAGTAGTATGTAGATGTGAAAGGTAAAACTGCATAAAGATTTCAGAAGATAATACAGGGAAATATTTTCATGACATTAAGGTATGCAAAGATTAATAGAACCAAAACATGTTAGTCATAAGTCAAAAGATTAATACATTTGACTATATTAAAATTAAAAACATACGTTCATTAGAAGACCCCATTAAGAGGTGAAAAAGCAAGCCACAGGATGGAAGAAAGTGTTTGCAACCCATATAATGGTATAAAAAATTCTTATACAATTATCTAGTAATTCCTACAAATTTCTAGGAAAAAAGTAGACCACACAATGAAAATGGGGAAGATAATTGAAAAACAAGGACCAGCAAACATTTGAAAAAGTGTTTAAGCTAATTAATAATCAGGGAAATGCAAAATCTCAAAAGCACTGCATATTCATCACAAGTGTTGATGAGAACATAGAGTAATGGGAACTCTCTTACCCTGCTTGTGAAGTGAATATCGATACCTTTTACAGTTTGGCATTATACCTAAAGTCTACCCTCTTTACAGGTACTCTCAGTAAATTCTCAGTACATATGTGTGCACATGTGTGCAAGACCCTTATGAGAATGATTATAGTAGCATTTACTCGTAATAGCTAAAAAATGGACACATTTTTTCTAATATTCATACAGGGGAATATTATACAACATTGAAAATGAACAACACATATAGCAACATGGGTTAGTCTCAAACATAAAGTAGAGCAAAATAAGCCAGATACAAAGGAATATATATTTTGATTTAATGAAAAATCAAAAACAGGTAAAACTAAATTATGATGTTTAAGGAATGTATAATTGGGAAGTAAATAAGGAAGTAATTACCATAAAGGTCAGAATAGTGATTAAGTTTATGAAGAGGGAGGGTACTGTAACACAGGACTCTAGGATGCTAGGAATATTCAGTTACTTAACATGGGTGGTAATGACACAATCTCTTTAATACTCATTAAACTGAACATTTATGCTTTATGTACTTTTTAAAATATTTTATACTTTATAATATAAAAGTTTAAAATATGGCTAAACATATGGTACCATTTGTGTCCTTAGGTCAAGATATCCATTAAGATATATTCATCTTGGATATATCTATCTAAGAACAGAGATAGTCTGGTAATTGAGGCCATTGTTCATAATATGTAAATTATAAGTAATATTATTTATGTACATTATTTCATTGGCTCCATTCTCTGTGAGCCATGCATGGCAGAAACTACTGGACATTTTTCACAGCTAGGAAACTTAAGCCTTATCGAAATCTATATTGGATTTAGATATGTGGCAAAGGTGGAATTTGAAACTGGGATTTTCCTCCCCCAAAAATTGAATTTAAAACCACAGGACAATGCACATCCACTAGAATTGCTATTATCAAAAAAGTATAAAGTAATAAGTATTGGCAAGGATGTGGATGTGGAGAAATTGGATTTCTCATGCATTGCTGGTAAGAACGTAAAACTGTGTGGCAGTTGTAGAAAACAGTTGGGAGTTTCTCAAAAATTAAATGTAGAATTACCATATGACCCAGCAATTCTACTCCAAGGTATTTACCCAAAAGAAGCAAAAATAAAGACAAACAGATACTTGTCTACCAATGTTCACAGAAGGATTATTTATAAGACAATAGTCAAAAGGTGGAAACAACCCATGCCCATCAACAGTTGAATAGATTAAAATATGGTATACACATATAATATAATATAATATTATTCAGGCACAGTATGGCCTTAAATTCTGATACAGGCTACAATATGGATGACCCTTGAAAGCATGCTAAGTTAAACAGCCAGACATAAATGGACAAATCTTGTGGTTCCATTTATATGAGGCATGTATAATATGCAATCTCATATAGACAGAAAATAGAATAGATGTTACTAGGGGTAGGAAGGAAGGGAAAATGAGCTTTAGTACTTAAAGGATAAAGAGCTGCTGTTTGAAATGAAAAAGTTCTGACATTAATGGTGATGGTTACACAACGTTGTGAATGTACTTAATGCACTGAATTGTACAATTAAAAATGGTAAGAAAAACACGAATAGTACATTTCATGTTATATGTTTCATTACAATATAAATATTTTAAAAACACAGGACAAATATTCTGATGAACTTTATTTACCCTGAATTTTCCAAATGGGGTCTTAAAATTATTCTGGGGAAATCAGGGGTCCTGGTCTTAACTCCATGAAGAGGAAACGGAAGGTGAGTGTAACTTATGTTTTCAGGTTTAATTTCTACCAGTCTTGAAATGCCTCATATTCTAGAGATCCTCCACGGTCAGCAATAAATTGGTACATGAAAGACAAACTAATTCTATATCACTCAGGAATTACATAAATACGGGCTCTATGTTTGTATTTAATATAATGGTTATGTAAAGATGTACACACCTGCCTTAGGGATGAGAAAGATGAGGAGTGAGGCTATGAAATGAATAGGGTAGTCTGAGGTATTTCTCCTTGACATGAGTTAGCAATGAGCCATTTTCCTAGGTAAAGAATAAGCTAGAAAAATAAGCTGTACACTTACCACATTTTTTTTGTGCTTTACACAAGTTCTTTAATCTGGAAGCCCACTTCCTTGAGATAGTCTCTTGCTTAAAAAAAAAATCAAATTATTTAACTTCATTGCAAGGAACATTTCAAAGACAATCTTCAATGTTCAGCTAGTGTGGGATCTCCCAAGATATATTAATAGAGATACTAAGGTAAATAATCCATTGTATTTATCTGCAACACTTTAAAATATCTTACAGCACTTGTATTAGGGATGCAAAGTGTTTCTTCCAATGTAATTTTATATGCTTTTTCTTAGTTCATGCTGAACTTCTTTTCAAGTCTTAAAAAAAAAAGGTTTCTTCTTTTTCTGTGCTATTAAAAAGTTTAGGTTTGTGGCACGATAATATCTTTCTGCTTTCTAGATTATTTTATACTTCATATTTCATATACTTTATATAATAATTATACCCATTAGTTTTAAAACTGAAATTAATATCCAAAGATAATTATGTAGCATTGTCATGACAATATAGTGTGATTGCTAGGAGCTCTGCTGCTGGAGCTAGCCTGCATGGATTTGAATCCTGGCTCTGCCACTTACTAGGTAGGAGACTCTGGGCAAGTCATTTGACCCTGGTATGCATCATGAAGTTTATTTGTCTGTAAAATGGAGCTGACAATAATAATCTACCACATAGAATTGTCATGAGAACTAAATGAATTGATATCTGTAAAGCAATTACAATAGTGCTGGGCACATAGAAAACACGATTTAAATATCTGTTCTGTAAAATAGCGTAAGTTAATTGTGATCCTGGACTTTTTGCTTTTATTTTTTCATGTGCAAAATATTGATCTTTATCTCAAAAGTATATGTAAATGAAACGTCAGTAGTAACTATTGCTTGGAAAGTCTTTGAAAGAAAGTTGGTAGAAGTTACTGTTTACTGTGTAATTATCAGTACTATCAGAATGCATCTTCAGTAGAAGGTAGAGTAACTCTCAACTAATATGGAATGGTGGATTTTGATCAAACACCTTGTGTTCTTTTGCAACTTTGTCCTAGATAGGAAGGATAGCTTTTCCATGGCAGAAGATTTTGGATCAATCATCATGACCCCACCAATTGTTGATATAATAATTAATCCATATATATTACCCAAGTGATATTAAGAAAATAATTTATATAATCTGTGATGTGAGAAATCACTTGTTTCATTGTCACCTGTAATGCAATTTCGATTTAATTTGGTTTGTTTTATATTATTTTACTGCTCTATTAATTTAATGATTTGAGTAATTATAGTTTGTGATATTAGGTAATAGGTTTAGAAGATATTATTAGATAATTCATGATAAAATGTTTATGATATTATAGAAATTTCTGCTATTTTAATCTGAATGCTGCATATAGTTTGATTATAATGAATTTCTTTTCTTTCTACATAATTCATATAGCACAACTATAAATATAATTTTCCATTGACACAGAATTATCATAGTTATGAGTATTATTTAACATAGAATAGAGAGCTAATAGTGCCCTAGGTCCTCTGTTTTTCATTTATCTATGGGAGTATGATACTGTCTCTGGAGGATTCTAATGTCAAATGAAGAAAATAAAAGATTTCATTCCGTTCCATTGTTTATTTCCCAAGACTACTGCTAATTACACATCTTGTGCTGCTTCTGCTCTTGGAAATTCCTCATAAGTATCTTTGTTCTGACTTATAGCATTTCCTTCTCATCATTACTAGGACTTACACTTTGAGTAGTGTTGTTTTCATTGGTTCATGTAGATTTCCGTGACCATTTCTCTCTAGACATATATAGATTGGACTGGCCTAATGCTAATCAAGAGTTTTCACAGGAAAACAGCTTCTACAGGTGCACAATCTCTTACTCGCAATTCCTAATTTCCAAAGCTTTGAAAACTTGAAAAATCAGGTAACCCATTTGAGACCATCCTGGCTAACATGGTGAAACCCCGTCTCTACAGAAAAAAAAAAAAAAAATTAGCCGGGTGTGGTGGCGCTTGCCTGTAATCCCAACTACTTGGGAGGCTGAGGCAGGAGAATCGCTTGAAACTGGGAGGCAGAGGTTGCAGTGAGCCAAGATCATACCACTGCACTACAGACTGGGTGACAGAGTGAGACTCTGTCTCAAAAAAAAAAAGGTAACTCATGTGCTGGCAAATCTGACCTGAATTGACGTGAAGTTATTTGTAGTCTTTATCTGATTTATTGTGAATATTAATACATTTTACTACAGAAATGTTAATGGTTTGTTTAAAAGATGCTGCTCCAAGGCCCTGATGGAGGTGTTCTATAGTAATATACATATTACTATATAATATAGTATAAATAATATACTATATTGTCTTTCTAAAATCTGGAAAAAAACCCACATATTTTGAAATACATTTGGCTGCAAGGGTTATATGCAACCTGTAATCATGATTGTTTTTCATATTCTGTAATCATAAGCACTCTATGGCCAAAGAATATAAAATTTATATTCTAATTAGGAATGTTAATCTTTAACTTTTTCTATTAGATTACCTGTAATAGTAATAATACATCAATGATCTATTATTAATCAGTGGTTCTGCCTCCCTTGAAACAAACAATTATTGTTAATATGGCTAGTCAAATTCTCAAATCACATGTTTTAAAGAAATATTTGATTGACTCCAAATATTACTTCCAAGGACTGATGATGAATTCTAAATTAACAATATTCACATAAACAGTTTCACAGCATTTGAGTACAATGGCTCTTAATGGGAAGTCTTGGGATACTAACATCATATATTGTATCTATATATGATTTTTCTCTCCTTCTTTCCTACAGTCTAAGGAAGGAAATCTTTTTATATGAATTACATTTTTGTTACAGTAACATTTCTTATATAGAATATGTAAATTGCTAACCACATAATCCTTTAGTGAGAGAGTTAGTTATAATTTGCTTTTACAAATCTAATTTGTTGACTATCATTTTTAGGTATTTACTACCAGGGAGTACCCAGTTCTTCTTGAGAACACCGACCTACAATTTGAAGTACAATTCACCTGGAATGACTCGCTCCAATGTCTTGTTTACATCCAGATATGGCCATTTGTGAAACAGAAGGGAAGACTGCCATTAGTTATACATAATAGCAATTCATTTTTTCCCCCTGAAGTTGAACATGCAAAGAACATGACCATTAAGTGCTGTTTTATGTACATAAGACATATATATGTGTGAAAATATATACACATATACACTCAAATAACATATATTTATTATATTAAATAATATATGAAAGAATAATTAGCAAAAAATGGAATATAAGACAACATTTCTGGAAATGTAATAAACCATGTTAAAATTGTTTACACAAATATGTGAATGTCTAGAACTTGCTAGGTTTCTAATTAATTCCTTCCTACTAGAAATGTTATTTTTGCTGCAGAGTATATAAAACAAATTGATCTTGAAGATCCCATTACAGTGTTAAATTATTTTCTAGATAACATGCCTTTTGACATGAAAAAGGGTTTAGTATAACACCTTAAAAATTCTCATATATAATAGCCATTTTAAATGAAACAAAAAGATTTAGAAACCTGGTGTTGCTTGATAAGATTAAGAAGTTTAAAACGGGTTTATCATTACTATAGCACAATGTAAAATACTAGAAAAGTCATAACCTGATTCTCCAACCTTTTTATTTCTTTTTGTGGAAATTTAGCTGCTTGTAATAACATAAATTTTTGGTAAGGATCTAGTGAGATCTATTATGATCTAAAATGGAAGACAGGCAGGTGCAGTGGCTCATGCCTGTAATCCCAGTACTTTGGGAGGCCAAGGTGGGTGGATCACCTGCGGTCAGGAGTTTGAGACTCACCTGGCGAACATGGTGAAACCCCGTCTCTACTAAAAACACAAAAATTGGCCATGGTGGTAAACATCTGTAATCCCAGCTACTTGTGAGGCTGAGACAGGAGTATCACTTGAACTTGGGAGGCAGAAGTTGCAGTGAGCCAAGATTGTGCCATTACATTCCAGCCTGGGTGACAAGGATGAAACTTCACCTCATAAATAAATAAATAAATAAATAAATAAATAAAATGAAGATAAAAATAAATAAAATGGAAGACAATCCAGTTGGTTAAAAATAAAATGTAAACCTTCATTTTTACTTTTCATAGAGAATCATAAAAAGGAACAGAAAAGGTAACAAAATCTTTCTATATGGTTTTTATGTTTTAGACCACTCATTTTTATTTGGAAAGTGTATCTTTGATGGGTTTAACATACGGTTAAATTCTATTTCTCCTGTTTTGCAGAAGTAGAAGAGCTGACATTTTAGTGTCATAGGATAATGAGACAAACATTTTTATAAATCTTTCAAGGTTGAAACCAACTTATATTGCAAAGTCTAATACAGTAATTTCTAATTGCACCATATAAAACAATTAAAGGATTGTGAATAGAAGATTTTAATTACCACATATTACAAGTCATCAATGTACCCTTGAGGGTTTTTATAAAATCAAAACAGAACGAAGTGTTCTTCTTGTCCAAAATTATTATGCAAAAGCTTCTTAGCAGTTCCTTTTTTTGAATAGTTTTTAAAACCAAGAATGAGCTTTCAGTTTTCCATAAAAATATAAGCAGCACTACCTTGACATTGAAATCATCAATGCAGCCATCATCACTTCTTAGGATTTATTTAAACTTCTTCCCTCAACAGTTTTATTTTCTCCCAGCTGCTAATTATTTTCCAAATTCATGAATGTTTTAACTCCTTTTACTATTCTAAAAGCTATTTCAAGAAATGGCCCCAAAGCAGGAGAACTGAGAGGGGCAAGTTGGCCTGGTTTAATTCACAGCCAGAATAATTGGCAACCCAAAGTTATAAGTTAGATGTATTTTGCTTTTCAAGCCATCTTCTGAGTCCTTTTTAGGCTGAAATAATTTGTTTCTTTCCTAAATTATTGCTAGCTACTTGATTCTTTATGACTATCTAACATCCATATTTGGTACTTTTCCTAGCTGCATGCATCCCAAAGAAGAATTTGCTCTTTTGTGGAAGAAGAGAATACGGG